TATATATATATATATATATATATATGCAACAAAAGAAGTGAAATAAAAAATGCCTTTGGCATTTGACATATTCACTATAGGTTTGTAACAATCTGAAGGTAGATCAAATTCAGCACTTAAAAACTCTTTGATAATTTTTAATTTCTATAAAAATTAAAAAGGAGATTCTTTGGTAGTGGTTTGTGAGGCTTCAAGTGTGTTGGGAAAGTCTGAGAGAAGTACTAGATTGCCTGAGGGAACACAATCTTTAATCTCTTTCTTAATTCTCTCTATTTCAGTGTTTCCAGCATTTTTATATTGCCAACATTGGTCTGATGATTTAGTACTATCTTCTTATAAATAACTGTACAGCCATATTGCATTAACTTTTTGGCAAAACAACTACTCCAACAGATATTTTCAAAATTTTGAAGATCCCTCCAAATCCAAATTTCCATGCATTTATAAAGAAATCCTGTTCCATTAAATTTCACCCTGAGAGCCAATCATAGGCACTTGTACTGGCATCTCAGAGTAAGCTGAAGACATATCTTCAGAGAAAAGAAACCTGCAGAACACCTTATAGAATCTAACACGGTACATACTTCCTGGTTAATAATTGTTACATATGTTCTGAAGTAACCCTATTAAAAAATCCCTTGAACTTTTGAATTTTTTTTTTTTTTTTTGCAATAGTTCATTAAGTAATGAATAAAACATGGGGACCACAATTAGGGCAAATGATTACATTTCTGGCAGTTTTCTATCACACTCTCTTCCTATGAAAGCCTAATACTCACCTTACACTCCATCTATCTCTTGATGTGATCTATGACGACATGCAGCAATACCTTATTTGCTTTTAGAAACAATGAAATTAATCTAGATTCATTTTAGCCTTTCTTGACTGTCTTTTTAGATCATTATTAACAGATTTGTATCAGAGTTCAAAGCAACTGCTGATTCACACTTTGTGTGTTAGAGACAGTGTAGGTAAAGTAACTGTGTCTTAACATGATCATCACTGGTAAATTTTAGTTTTTGCATGGACAGACATTTGCTCCACTATAGGTACTCCATTTAAAAAAAAAAAAATTAAAATAAGAAAAAGTCACTTTACAGACAAAATTGCAACT